ACAAATGTATGCTTAGCTCAAACAATTTATGGAACGTTGTCGTTACTTCAAAGAATGAATACGCCAAGCATATAAAAGCAGAAGTTATTATTACTTTTGAAGTTTAATGAATAAGCATATAGAGTACTGTAGGAAAACTGTTTTGTCGCTGGCAGATTATTGTAAACGGTATTCCCTCCAAATGCCTAAGTTTTCAGCAAGGTGTTAAGCCTCCGACAACTTATTTCGAAAGACGACAAGCTTTAGAAAGCTGCCAGGAAGAACACAAAGACTATTTTGATGTATGACTCGAAGTTGTTATTATTTTGCTTTTTTTTTACTGTTATCTACACTTTTCTGTATTTCAAATTTCCATTACAAAGTGAGCTGTAAGATTTCGCTCAAAATCATTTGGGACACAATTTCAAATATTCTATACAACATTGCTGTGCATTTGATCATTGCTAAAAATACTGTTTTTAGTATAGTACTCAATTAAAAAGACGAAGTGACGATCTTATCGTACGGTTTATGAAGGTCTGCTCAAGGCCAGTAGCCATATCGATTGGATTGGAAGGATGTCCTTAGTAAGTTGAAAATTCTTCACACCCTTCTTACTTTCGGAACTTCACTTTATTCTTAGTTCGGACTTCTTTATATTCATTGATTGCTTTCATGAGCTAACATAAATTTTCAGTCAAGTAGTGGAATATTGCTACGCTGCCAATAATAAACGTCCATTTTGCACAAAATCAGAATGCCAAAATGTAGATTGGGAGAAAGTATTTGGCAAGAAAGATGAATTCAAGCCAATGGAAGTGAGAACAACGGAAGAACCAACAGAAAGAGTAAGAAAAAAAAACACTACAGTGAAAAACGTGAAAAAAAAAGTCAAATTTAATGTAAGTCTACACAAGGAACAGCTTGTTGGTGAATCAGATGAAATTGACGTAGCTGCATTGAACCAAATCAATCTTCTACATTTTCTGATAACATTGGTGATAATCATAGTGTTTACTACTGGTACTTTGACCTATTGATTGGACTATTAACAAATGTATATTTCTGCATATACTCGTACAAATTAAATTAAGGAATATGAACTCGAATTCTTTTTTTGCATTGTTCTTGTTTTTGAAGTTTCTGCGGAAAAGTGTAGAACGAGAAAGTGAGATATTGAGTCATAGTGCTACGTGTCTATATTGCGGTCACTATTTTGGCTAATCAATCAACTCTCACTAAGATCTCCGCTCGAACTTTATTGTAGATTTCACGAGTAGATGCACTACTCCTGTCTTCCACAAGGGCGCTTGAGCTCCTTTCAAGAGTACCGCCTTATCAGCGCATACCTCAATGTTAGTGACTGACTTTCTTCATTCACTTTTAGTTCTACCACAACAAAAGGCTCCTCAATTCTTCGGCTACAAATTTCATGATATCCTTGTCGGTCGCAAAGTTCTTAAGACCATTCACAAGCAACAGGTGATTTGTTATATGCATTCCTTAATCTGTTTGAACTGCTACCTTTGGGTACTTTATATTGAGCCGTTCATTCAACAAGTGCATTCCATGATGAACAGCACCGGAGAAGGCTATCACTTTGTAGAATTCCTCGTTGTATTCTTTTCTGTATTATAATTGCTGCTTTGCTTTTCAATACAACCGATCATCTGAAGTAATGATTATTAGAAACGTACCGATCTACGCTGACATGTTGAGACTTTCAATACACTTAATCAGGTTGCTCTGACTAACTGAATCTAACACCTTTACTTCAGGTAGTATCGAGCTGATTACCGTGCTCTTTTGCTCACGAATTTTATGTCTGAGAGCAGATAAAACAACAGAGTTAGAACTTCCAGTCTTCATTGAAAACTAAGCTCAATCCCCTGACTAACGACATTTATCATACCTGATTATCGGTGCTGAAATGAATGGAACTCGAGCATGAGGTAAAGCGAACAACGTTAAAATTGTTGAGTCAGATGCACATATATACAAAACACTAATTGACAATTCTACATCAGTCCTGCAGTTCTCATAACATTAATTCAAATCCATAGTAACGAACGCAAAACGTGGTAACTAACAACAACAAAAATTTTTAAAAAATACAAATTTACATTAGCAAAATCGTGAATAATGACACAAGTCTTGTTGTGCTCGATAAACTTAGTCAAAATAAATTCGAATCGATTATTTGTTTTGTATTAAATTTAGTTTTATTTAGCTAAGAAACACAAGAACTATTTATTCAAAACAAAGTAGAATCTACTAGACAGAATTGCTATTCACTGGAACGGCAGTGCATTGCAAAGTAGCACAGATAGGATTCTAGTCATAAATCTACTCTTTAAATCAAAAAAATGTGCAGTAAATTATAAAACGGAAATTTAGTAGGATCATCTATGCTTTTTTTGGCACTGAGACCACAGTCTAAATGCATCAACATGATATTAAATAAAATATTTTGCAATCTAAATTTCTTGTTTTCGTATAATGCTTCACCTATTCTAATAAAAATTGACTTTTTAAATAAAATAAAAAACATATTACTTTGGAATTATTCACGCGCTTGTTTCGTTTGCACTAGACTTTTTTCATAATTGCACTAAAAATAATACTTCTATCTACATGTTTACTAGAATTCATGAAATTATAGCTTCTGTGGTCATTTATAGAGAGACTGCTTAATTTCGATGATAATGCAGAAGTGCTTGCAAAATTCAAGTAAATTGATAAAGGAGGGAAATTCCGAAGGAATTGCTGAGCATGATGAAGTAACGAAAAGGGGGTTAAATTATTGAAATTTATAATAAATATGCATGCTTCTTGCCTCTGATTAGTTTCTTTTGAGAATCTTTGAGTTTTAAAATTTTCATAAATTTCGGCTTCTTACTGTCTCTGATGAAATCTTCATGTTGTGGAATACAATAGCTTTGAATCTCTTTGAGAAGGGGATTAAATTGCCTTGACAATCATATCTGCTAAGAATTTGGTGAGAATGCATACATTAGTTACCTGATGTGTTGTGGAGTCATAACTTAGTTACCTGATGTGTTGTGGAGTCATAACTTAGTTACCTGATGTATTGTGGAGTCATAACTTACTTGATGTCAAATTGATGTATTGGTAATGTCGATTCTTGTCCTACGTATGCATAGTGAGCAGAACGAGCAGTAATCTGATTAAACTGTAAGAACAGGGTCAAATTTTATCATTTTTTTATCTCTAATTAAATTGCTATCATTTCACAAACTAATAGTTATGATTTACCTAAATTAAGCTGTTAAAATTCGAAAACAAGTACACTCTATCACCAAATTTTTGGAACAACAATGAGCAAGTGAGTTCTGCGATCATTAGTATCGCAGGTCATTATTGATGCTCACAGAGACAGTTTTAATGAAGTCACGAAGTGTAACAAAGCACATGACATCTTCAATCGAATAAGCTACACACATCTACGGCTTTAGTGCTGATGCAAGAGGTCCTGCGACGTGGACAAGTAAAATATTTTCGGGAAACGTTGACTGGGTTTGCTTGGAGTGCTGAACCAAACCGCGGGTGAATATGCCATACAAAATTCTCTAAGAACTGATACTGGCACAACAATGTTATTAAAAGATGTCATGAGAGTAGAAAAAGCCATCGAAGTGGAAGTTAGCATAGCAAAGAAGGTAACTTCCGCGCAGATCGTCGCGAATGGAAACGTTGAGAACAGAGTTGATCTGCGCGTTAGGACGGCTCTAAAATTGAATGTGGATTGACTGGATATCATAATCCACGATAAGAAGCGATAAGAAGTAGAATTTGGCATCACTAGATAGGGCAGGTTGACTGACTGCAGTGGAGATGAAAAAAAATATGACTAATAGATCCAATGCTCGCTAATAGATTCAGTGTAAGATGAAGTGCAGAACGGGAATGACTTGGAATGGGATAGTAACCAACTTCAGTAAACATTAAGCGAAGCAAATTAATATATCTCTTGATGTCGTGATACAAATTCAATCGATAGTGCTCAAAAAGATACTAAAAAATATCTCATTTGATCGCCGTCTCGGATGCTCATAAGCACACATTACATGCAAACAATAATTGTTCCTCATCAAGCAGTAAAATTTTTGACTGCAAGAAGCAACAGTGAATGAATTTTTGATTCTTCTTTTTTGTCTTGCTAATACCAATAAGAATTGAGGTACTGCTGGGTGAAGGACTGCTGGTGTTGAAGTGTGTGGGATTTTAGAGAGGTGTAATTGTTTTCTACAAGAGCGACTTGTTTAGATGTGTTCTGAACGAGTGAGTGCATTTCATAGCGCCACTCTACTCGCCACATGGCGTTCCGTAGTCTATAATTTGTGTAATGCATCAAAAAGCATTAAGTACAATACGTGGACTTCAGTGACGATGCGTAATGCGACTTAATCCTTTGGAAACTTATAGCAGTTTGCTAATTCAAAAGCGAGAGAGGTAATAAGCCAATCACACGTGTTTTGTCAAGTAGGCACCGTTGGCATGCAATGAACATACGTTTGGCGGGATATTTGATTACACTCTACATTGTTTTCTGCACTATGTCAAGCATATTAGATGGAGTGATGTACTCTTTTCGTCTGCTCAGTGCTAACCCATAGAACACAACCCGCATTTTGATGAATGCATGATTAAGTTAAAAAATCGTCTTGAGTGTCTAATTCACTGTTAGTTTTCGGGGCCTTAGTGAAGACCCTTAGAACAATTTTTGGTCAGCCCATTGACGGTTTTGGGCTGTATAATTATTAAGATGAGGACTTTACTTATTGTTGTAACAAATGGTAGAGACGACTATACAGGAATAATTCGGTAGCAAGGTTTTAATTAGTAATCTCGTATATCAAACAAAGCAGAAATTGAATGAGAAATCCATTTTCTAGCAGTGATAGAGTGAGTTTGACGTTATCACTATCTTTCTTATGGAAATAATGATTTTGATGTTGAAATTCTGTGCTGAAAAGATGTGTTCTCGTGACCTTTTTCGCACTGTTCCAAAAGTTGCATGTGCAGAAATACCACTCATCCGTGATATTTTTACGCATCAAACAATTCAAAAAAAAATTAACTTTACGCGTAAAACTTTTTTAGTTTCTAATGTGCAAAGTGCTTTATTTCCATTTTCTGCTTGCAATTTCGTTCAAATTATTTTAGTGAAACCTTTGTATTGCTTGCCAAACAACACGGAAGATACTTAAAAGACCACACGCTGGCATAACTTTAACTGTTAATAACAAT